CCCAAAAAAACAACTACCAACTTTTAGGTCCGTTACCTCGAGGTTAGTGAGGTCCGACCAAAATCCGAGTATTATGTGAGTTTAAGAGTTTTTGCTAATGCAATGCTCTATTGAACTCCTTCTCAAGCACTCTTCTCGAAAACCCAGGATGGGTATTTACAGGCAAGAGGGAGAGTGGGAATTTCTATCCCATCAATGTGGGAGCATGAAATTCCATAACTTATTTTAAAGCTAAATTAAAATAAATAAGCAAACTAATAAAAAATCTACAAGTGTCACTAATACATGTAAAGGGAAATGAGGACCATTTGGAGAGTAGGGAACCATACTTTCTCCCCACGCCATACTCTCCTTGTGCCACATGTCCCTCACCATCACTTCCTTCCCATTTGCTTTGGCCCTACTACCCGTGCCTTAGGCCCAGCCGTAGCCCAGCCCTCGCACTTGGAGTTGCGGCCTGCTGTTGTGGCTAGCAAGGCACGCACTCAAAGTGTGTGCTGCTGCTACCATGCCGCGCACACCATGTGCGGGCTGCTAGTAGCTGCTGCCTTGGTGCGCGTGCAGCTGCTAGCTGCTTCTATGCATGGTGCGCTAGCACGCACCAGCCAGCCACCCTTGGCTCGGCATGGTGGGCATGCTAGCCACCTATGCTAGCATATTATGCCCCTAGCATTCGGATGCATGGGGCATTCCGATGCCAGGGGTATTTTTGGAATATTGTCGATTTATTATTATTTTGCGCGTCTTGTCATTTACTATTTTTTACTCGACTTCCGACGCTCGGTTTCGACGCTCTAAGCTCGAATTTCCGACATCTAAATACTTAATACTCAGGCGAGTCATTAATTTCTTTCGAATTAATTCGTCGAGTTGGTTTGTTAATTGCTTGGGTGTGACCCGAGGGGTTCAGTCAAGATTAAGCTGCAATATTAATTATACATTAATATTACTGATCGAAAGCAGCCTCCACCTAGGCTTTTCGATCACTTGACCTTACTAAATATATTAGCTTTCTAATAATTCTGAACCCACTATAAGAATAATACATTTGTTCGAAGGACACCATTCCTTTCATCAACACGAGAATTCGAGACCCACGGCTTTGATTTCCGGGTGAGGGAAAAGGGTTAGGGTTAGCCGGATCATATGAAAAATCGCATCCCCCTGGCCTCTTATAATCGTAAGATGTCGGGGAGGTCCCCCTAATGGCATGGGGAGGTACATTAGGCCCCTCCCAATAGGGATAGCACAACCTAGGGCAGATGGAATCATCAAATGGTTCCCACTGAGGCACGGGTCCCTATTAGACCAGGAGGTACGGGTAGTTCACATACGGTTCGATATCCCCCCTTCATGACATGCATGTCATAGACTTGCCTAGCATGATAGTTGTTTTGGGGTGTTTTTGTCCCTCGGAGAGTTATGTCATGAAGTATGGTCTGGCTGAGTTGTACCTGCAAAACAACGGAGACTCCGGGTGGTTGGAGCTCCGCCTCCGAAGATTAAGTTAGTAACTTGAAAGGGAATAAAGACTACGGAAATTTAGGTGGGGATCTGCTTGGATTCCAAGCTCAGGTCTTTCTCTGATGGGAGAGAATGTAGGTGTAATAAATAATTGAATGTGTCCCCAAAATGGGGAAATATCTCCCTATTTATAGGGTCATTGGAGAACGTGCCCCTATCTAGGTCACTTGACCTAGATTTCAGTGGGCTGCGCCGTTTTACGGCGCTTCTTAGGATTTGGGCCCTTAAAGGCCGCCATTTCAGAGATGTATCTAAGGGGGCCACGTGTCAAGAGGATATTAAGCTACGTGGGCCATCCTGAACTCGACACGTGGCCTCCTCTCATTGGTCCACGTGTCTAGGGTATTTTTACCCTAAACATCTGCCCCTCACAGAGCGCACGTGCATATCAAGGCTATATGGCATGCCCTATATGCATTGATTCAACTCATTCTGAAAAATTTGGGAGTAAGACTTGTTATTGTGGGTATCGAAAATGGCTTCCATCATGTCATCCATATCGATTTGAGAGTGACAGTTTTAACGGAAGAGAAGAGCATGGTGAAGCTCCACCTCGGCCTAGTGGGATTGACATAATGGAGCTACAAGAAAAGGTTGGGTATGTTTATGGGAAGGCATCAAAAAGAGAGGTAACGAGGGTAACAATGAAGATGTTGTCATTGGTACTAAGAGAAGCATATTTTATAATTTAGAGTATTGGGAGCATAATTTGTTGAGGCATAATCTAGATGTAATGCACATAGAAAAAAATGTGTGTGACAATATTTTAAATACTCTCTTAAATACCGATAAAAGCACAGATAAGAAGGATGATCGAGATGCCCTTCAAGGATGGGGCATAAAGCCACATCTTTGGGTTCAAGATAATCATATGCCTTCAACTTCTTATTCTATGTCTGTAGAGGAGAAAGAGAGGTTCTTAAAAGTTTTACAAAAACTCAGAGTCCCTGATGGCTATGGATCTAACCTTTCTAGATGCGTGAACATGAAGCAAAGAAGGTTGATTAACCTTAAGAGCCATGACAACCATGTTTTGATGCAAGATATCCTTCCCGTCGCATTAAGCACTACAAGAAAATTGTTTATTGGCAACAGGTTTTTGCAACAAGAAAAAAATTTGTAGCTTAAAACCAGCTTCCGCTACGTAAAATTTAAGTCCGTGGCTACAGATTGTTGCAAAAATAAAAATTTCATTTCCCCTCCAAAATTTTCGTGTGGCGGGATTTGGCGAAAAAGGAGTAGTTTTTGGCCACGAGACTGGTGTTGTGAAAAATTAAATAAGTTATCACAACAAGTTTGATTGTTGTGTTATATAAAATTAACAATGACTACAAAAGAAGTCGTTGTATAAGATATTATTATTTTATTTAAAAAAAAATTAACTCTCTTCACGCACTCTAAAGTTCCTCACTTAGCTTTGACACTTTCTATTACTTGCTACCCAGCTACCCTCCAACTAAAGAACTCCAGAACACTCTCAAAACAAAACTACTTCCCTACTACTTATCTAAAATCCCCATTTAACAACTCCAGTAAATTAATGGTTTTAATGGTGATATAGGGTTTGGGAAGCGCGCGTCGGCATTCATTGGTTGGAGAAGTGGTGATTTGCTTAATTATTGAATGTTCTCAGCAATATTTTTCAATCAGTGAGTTTAAATTCTTGCAATTTTTATTATTGAACCTTGAAGGTACATTAAATTACATATATATTTTGCTTTCATGAGATAATTTTTTGATTTCGTGTTAAAATTTTGTATCTAGGGTTTTTTTTGCTATGATTTTTGGTAGATCTACTTGGCTACTTGCATGTCGAATGGTTTAATTTCATTTAAATGTAATTGTGTTTGTGCTCTGTACTTCAATTTTTTTCGGGTTAAAAAAATTCATTATTGATATATGTTTAATTTGTTTCCCACTTTTATTACCCCTAATAAGGGGCAAAAATCTAAAATCAGATTTTTGCTTCTTACTTTTTAATTATTATGATTAATTTAATTTGTTACTATATTTTTAATCTGGGTTTAAAAAGAATCAGGGAGTTTTTACCCTTGACTAGCATATTTTGAGGAATTCATAGATAATTAGATGCATTTTGGTGTTATGAGTGGATAGAAGTGAATTTAGATGAGTAATATTAATATTGGATGGAAGTATAATGCTTGTCAAGTCCTTAGTTGTTGTAGAATGCGTTTTGTTAACAATCTAGATGGCTAAACTAGTAGACTATTGGAAGGTGGGGATTGGAGTAAATGTTTATTGTATTTGTATTTCTTTTTGATGGATTAATGCATAAGGATATATGCTAAACTTACAAGAGCTGTAACCTGCAAGTGCATTTCCTAGATTGTCATGGTTTTTATTCTGCCTTTTGTTGTCGACACCTTAAAATTTCTTCTATCTTTTGTTGTTTACATCTTAATGTTTCTTATTTCTATTGTCTTGTTGACTAATGAAGTATGTATGTAAGGTTTTTTGGCTTCTTATCTAAATTTGGTCATCAAGTTGTGCTCAGATGATGTTTAATTTATACTAGTTTATACATAAAGATATAGTGTACCATTTCACAAAATAATACATAATATATTAAGAATGACTTTTAAAAGAAAATGGGGCACATTTTAAGGGATAGAGGGAGCGTGTGTTAGCTCTTAGCCTATAATCACAAGATAACCCGCTAGTAAGAAACATACTAAATTGAGTATAGTGAGAGGGAAGGGGTGGGGAGGGGCTCTTTTGAATTTGACATATAAATTGATTTTTAAAAAGAGAAAATTGTAAAAAATGACCTTTTAAGTGGTCGACTTTTTGAAAAGGACCTTTTAAGTGAAAACTTGTGAAAAATGACCTTTTAAATTGTATTTTGTTTATATGGGGTACTTAGGTGAGCTTGCATGGTGGTCAGAGTTTCGGGGTTGACTATCACGTATTAGTCACATAATTAAAAAAATTTCCCTAAATTTCCCTCATTTCTCGACCTAACCCTTTCATATAGTATTCTATCGGAGGTCGGGAAAGGGAAAAAATTTGGGCAATTTTTTTTATTTTTTATTTTTTTTAAAAAAAAAGTCACGTGACTAACATGTGATAGTCAATACCGGAGCTCCGGCGTTGACCAGCTCTCAAGCTCACCCAAGTACCCATACAAACAAAATACAACTTAAAAGGTCATTTTTCACAAGTTTTTACTTTAAAGGTTCTTTTTCAAAAAGTTCCATTTAAAAGGTCTTTTTTCACAATTTTCTCTTTTAAATATCAATTAAATGAGAATATAAAAAACCTAATGTTTGGAAAAAATAAAATAAAACTACTTGTTTATACTTAGCATATTAATGTATTGTTCTTTGCATACTAAAAAGAATATTCAAATGCCCTTTTTTAGGTCAGTATTTTTTTTTTTTTTTGAGTGTATTAAAGTTAGTAATTTTTTACTTGGTTTAACCAACATGTGTTAGGTGGTAAATTGAAATTAGGAGATGACACTGGATAAAGAATGGATGAAACTAACTGACCGTGGTTCAACAGGATATCTGAAAGGAATAGATGGCTTTCTAGACTTTGCATTTACTAATACTAATGCTAATGAGCGTTGCAGAAATGGAACTGCAATTAAATGTCCATGTTGCAGATGCGCTAACGTGCATTTCAAAACTTGAACTGAAGTTCGAGTTGATTTGCTAAAAAATGGCTTTTTGCCATGCTACACTGTATGGGATAAACATGGTGAAAGACATGGTGACATGATCCTTGAAAGTGAGAATACTTTTAATGATGATGATGATATGCTCGACATGTTACAAGTAGGATGTGGGGTGGCTGTAATGGGATTGCTTGAGGATAGTAATATTGACGAAGCTCAAGAACCCTCTAAAGAAGCAGCTAAATTCTACCGCTTATTAGAGTACTATAAAGAGCCTTTGGTTGTAGATGGGAAAAAAGTGTCAAAGTTAGTTTACATAATGAAATTGTTACATCTTAAGTGCTTGAACCATTGGACAGATACCTCTTTTACTCAATTATTGAAATTTCAAAATGAAACATTAGGTTTTTACCTGCCTAATTCATATGATGCATGTCGCAAAATTATTAGTGAACTAGGCCTAGATTATGTCAAAATTGATGCATGTCCAAATGATTGCATAATCTATTGGCGTGAAAATAGTGAGGCTCAAGAGTGTCCAAAATGTAAAACTTCTAGGTGGAAGGCGAAGGGTAAAAATGTACCAAATAAGGTGTTACGTTATTTCCCAGTTAAACCTAGACTGCAAAGGTTATTTATGTCATCAAAGACTGCAAAAGAAATACGTTGGCACAAAGAGGAAAGAACTAATGATGATACTATGAGACATCCAGCAGATTCTCCAGGATGGAAGTCATTTGATGAGGAATACAAGTCATTTGCAGCTGACCCTAGAAGTGTTAGGCTTGGTTTAGCTGCTGATTGTTGGGGTTTGGTGAGTCTAACTCATCGCGGAAACAAACCCAAAAACAAGACCGCACTCGCAATAAATAAAACCATAAACATAATTAAATTAATCACAAGATTAAGATAATCTAATTACCTTTGACGCGTGCTTCACTCCAAAATGAGCTCTTACTTGAAAGCTTCAAGTACCGCTCACACAGAGACCTCCAACGAAGTCCACCTGCACCAACAAAACTGACTAGGTCCAATGTCTTGGGGTTAGCAAGACCCGACCAATAAAACCCGAGTAATTATATTGAGTTCAAAGATTTTCACTAATTGTGATGCCTTTTTCAACTCTTACTCAAGCATCATTCCTAATGCCCATACTTGGGTATTTATAGGAAATGATGGGAGTATCATTTACTCTCCCATCAATGTGGGATAGTATGATTTTTCCATTTTATTTTAAAGTTAAAATAAAATTAATAATCAAGCTAGTAATAAATCAACAAGTGACAAGCTCATGTGAGTGGTTAGGTGAGGACCACTTAGAGAAGGGGGGGACCAAACTTGCTCCCCACTCCCTCTCCCATAACCGGCCACCTCACTCCACACACACTTAAGGACCACTAGCCACATGTCACCCACCATTGGGCACCAAGATAGCCAAGGTTGGCTGCCATGTGCTGCTATCCGTGGAAGCCACGCCCAGCAGGCCCAGCACTCGCATGTGGGCTGCCAGGCGCTGCTGGCCAGCAAGCCCAACATGCTTGTGCGGGCTGCTGCTGGCCTTGTGCCTTGGCCAGCGCTGCTAGGCAGCAAGCAATGGCCTAGCCATGCTGCTGCTAGCTGTGGCGAGCTGGCGCGCTTAGCGTGCTAGCTGCTGCAGCTTGTTGCGGCGTGGCTTGCTAGCCATTGCGCGCACAAGGCTGCGCATAGCATGCTAGCACGCACTAGGCAGTGCCTAGCCTTGCGATGCTAGCATGGGTGCGCTAGCACGCACCAGCCTAGGCTCGTCTTGGTGCGCATGCTAGGTCATACGCCCTTAGCACTCGGTTTGCTTGGGCATTCCGATGCTAGGGGTATTTTGGTCTTTTTTTGATTTATTACTATTTCTCGTCTCGTCTTTCACTATTTTTCGACTCGACTTCCGACGCTTGGTTTCGACGCTCTAAGCTCGAATTTCTGACGTCTAAATAAATATGACTCGGTCGACTCATTAATTCCTTCCGAATTAATTCGTCGGTTCGGTTTGTTGAATGCTTGGGTGTGACCCGAAGGGTTCAGTCAAGATTAAGCTGTAATATTAATTATTCATTAATATTACTGATTGGAAGCGGCCTCCACCCAGGCATTCCGATCACTTGACCTCACTGAATATATTAGCTTTCTAATAATTCTGAACCCACTAACGGAATAGTACACTTGTTCGAAGGACACCATTCCTTTCAATCTCCCACTTGTCCTTCCGGACAAGTGCGCATTTTGTGTATAGCCTTTTTCCTCTGTCGCTTAATGTCTCTTCATGAACTATAAGGTAAGATTTGTTTTGTCATCCTTATTACGTCCAGAAGTGTTTCCCGATTCCGAGTCTGACTGTCAATAAACAGATGATTTCTAAAATCCATCCGAGCATGGCCATGCATTTTACAGTCTCGCTCTATGAGAGGCCTTGTATACAACAAAGACATCTTCCCTATTTTAGTAGGGGGACATTCCCAGTCTTGTAATATAGCTCCTCTTATTGAGAGGACCTAGTCGCCCGAGTGTTGCCGTTATAATCCCCTATTATGGTAGACGTTTGACAACATAAAAGCGAACTAGTACTCAAACAAGAGAACTCACAATACTCATGGTCAAGGAAATAGGTTCCGATAGCCATAATGAGAAGTATACTTATGACAAATTTTTAATTTCTTAAAGTATTCTCATAGGTCGATCCAGTATGGTTCTAAACCAATACATGTGCAAATGATTTATGACAATCATGTCCTTGTAGCACATGAAACGGTGCTATAAATCAGACTACACACTAATCTCAATTGGTCATTATGAAAGGAATGGTGTCCTTCGAACAAGTGTACTATTCCGTTAGTGGGTTCAGAATTATTAGAAAGCTAATATATTCAGTGAGGTCAAGTGATCGGAATGCCTGGGTGGAGGCCGCTTCTGATCAGTAATATTAATGAATAATTAATATTACAGCTTAATCTTGACTGAACCCTTCGGGTCACACCCAAGCATTCAACAAACCGAACCGACGAATTAATTCGGAAGGAATTAATGAGTCGAACGAGTAATATTTATTTAGACGTCGGAAATTCGAGCTTAGAGCGTCGAAACCAAGCATCGAAAGTCGAGTCGAAAAATAGTGAAAGACGAGACGAGAAATAGTAATAAATCAACAAAAGACCAAAATACCCCTAGCATCGGAATGCCCAAGCAAACCGAGTGCTAAGGCGTATGGCCTAGCATGGTGGCTAGCATGCGCACCAAGCCGAGCCTAGGCTGGCTGGTGCGTGCTAGCGAACCCATGCTAGCATCGCAAGGCTAGGCGCTGCCTAGTGCGTGCTAGCATGCTAGGCACATCCTTGTGCGCGCAATGGCTAGCAAGCCATGCCGCAACAAGCTGCAGCAGCTAGCACGCTAGGCGCGCCAGCACGCCACAACTAGCAGCAGCATGGCTAGGCCATTGCTTGATGCCTAGCAGCGCTGGCCAAAGCACAAGGCCAGCAGCAACCCGCACAAGCATGCTGGGCTTGCTGGGCGTGGCTGCCACGGATAGCAGCACATGGAAGCCCACCTTGGCTGCCTTGGTGCCCAAGGGTGGGTGCCATGTGGCTTGTGGTCCTTGAGTGTGTGTGGAGTGAGGTGGCCGGTTATGGGAGAGGGAGTGGGGAGCAAGTTTGGTCCCCCCCTTCTCCAAGTGGTCCTCACCTAACCACTCACATGAGCTTGCCACTTGTTGATTTATTACTAGCTTGATTATTAATTTTATTTTAGCTTTAAAATAAAATGGAAAAATCATACTATCCCACATTGATGGGAGAGTAAATGATACTCCCATCATTTCCTATAAATACCCTAGTATGGGCATTGGGAATGATGCTTGAGAAAGAGTTGAAAAAGGCATCACAATTAGTGAAAACCTTTGAACTCAATATAATTACTCGTGTTTTATTGATCGGGTCTTGCTAACCCCAAGACATTGGACCTAGTCGGTTTTGTTGGTGCGGGTGGACTTCGTTGGAGGTCTCCGTGTGAGCGGGACTTGAAGCTTTCAAGTAAGAGCTCATTTTGGAGCGAAGCACGCGTCAAAGGTAATTAGCGTATCTTAATTTTGTGATTAATTTAATTATGTTTATGGTTTTATTTATTGCGAGTGCGGTCTTGTTTTTGGGTTTGTTTCCGTGAGTCGGACTCGCCAAACCCCAACAGCGGTATCAGAGCCTCGCTCGTTTATTTTTAAAATCATAATATTTTCAAGGTGTTTTTATGGCTTAATTTCTCTGGTTTTAAGTTATTAATTAGATTAGTAACTCGTTTTTCCAATTTTTACCTTGTATTAGAGCTGTCTTTAGCTCTCGAACCCAAATTTCGACCCAAAAATAGTGAATTTTGGGTGGAAAAGGCGTTCTGGAAATGGTTTTACCCTTGGGGCTCCGTTTTTAGCCAAAAAACGACCAAAAATGCATTTTTCGAGGGATTTTTCATTTTGACGAAATTTTTTAAGTCTTTCTAACCTTGAAAATTGATTGCATATTTATGGTGGTTATGTATTTGGTTCTTTCCTTTATTTATATGCAATTTTAGACCACTTTAAGCATGATTACTTGGTACTAATTGATGCTTGAAAGTTTGGTTTTATTTTTTAACATAATTGCAAATTAATTGCATTAAGTGTGAAATTGTTGTTCTTTGTTGCTTCCAAGTACTAAAGATTCAATCTTTATTTATGATAAGTGATTGAAACTTTGAGTTACTAAATTCCATGAATTTTGGTTAAACTTTGTTGATTTAATCATTTTTTAGTTGATTGGAATCATAAAGTTTAAAACTTGTGATTGAAATTGGTTTATCTTCATATTGGAAGATATAATTTTTCATGAAGTCACAAGTATTAAAGTTGGAGTCTTTATTGAACTTATGTTCATTTTTCCAACTCCCTTTTATTTTGTCAAAATCTCAAGATTAATTTAAAGTGATTAAATTAATAGTGAGAATTGCCCTAATTTATTTTATTACACCAAGTTAAACCAATTTTATTAAAGAGTGGTTCTTGGAAATAAATTTGGTTGATTGCTTTTGGATGAATTATTTAAGTTGGACTTGTAATTTTTCATTTTTCCTCAAAATTGATTCTAAAATTAATTTAGAATTGATTTATAATGTCACACACATATGTGGCTGCCTAGGCTGCTGGGCGCTTCGTTCGTAGGTGCGTCTGTGTGTGCGAGGAAGGGCGTGGGTTGCTGCTCGGTGCCAGCAACATAGCGCGCCAACCAGCAGCAAGCAGCAGCATGGCGTAGCGCATGTGAGCACAAGCAGCCCACATGCATGCTTGGTGTTGCGGGGTTGCGCATGGGCATACTACGTGCTTGTTGTACGGTACGTACAATCCCATAATTGGCACAATAACCCCGGGTTATTAAGGCGATGCAATTTTAAAGTTAATTTTAGCGTTGCTTAATATGTAAATAAGGGTATTTTTTTGGACTCCAAGTCTTAGTGCTAGGAACTTAGACATTTTGGAATTCGTAATTTTGCTTAAATTGTCGTTTTAATTATTTTGTTTATTTAATTAAAATTTTTGGAGGCTAGGCCTCGGGTTTTGAGCGACATTTGCAAAATTAATTTTGGCAAATATTTGGGTTCAGCGACTTAATTAATTGGATTAGTTAAGTTGGATGCGGAATTTAGTGGGATCGTCTCTAAGTTATTACCATAACCGGTTAAAACAACTTTGACTAGTTTAATTAGGCATGTTAATTGGATTAACCACCTAGATTAGTTACTAGTTCTCGCGCTTTTTATGCATTGTTACTTTTTATCGTTGTAAAATGCATGGGCTATTCACATATAGTGAATGGATGAATGGAATGTAAATTCTCTCACATGTTTTATGAAATGGCAGCTACCGGGGCCCGATTAGGATAGAAAATACAGACTGTGATCCGTGATGTATTTTTGTAAATATAAATACGGTCTGCGAACCGTTGAGTATTTTTGTACCTTAATATTTAGATTAGTCCTAATCGTAGATACTAGCAATTGTAATATTTTGGTCAAGTCTTGAAGACGGGGTTCTTAGAAGACAAAGCCATGAAGTTGCAAATGAAGACTTGAAGATCTCAAGGGGTCATGCTAGTTGCCAAATGCATCTCTATTTATGTTTTCGATATATATTTATGTTTATATATATATGAATTATATGTTAGATGCATGTTTAGGATTTCGAATGTTGAGATGATTAATTAAGTTTACTTAAATCAACCAACATAGAAACCCTAGGTCCCTAAAATACTTAGTAAAACTTGCCATTCCAAAACACACTTACCAACCGAACGAGGGTAGTGGTGGGCTACGCCAAAGCGAGGCATCACTACTTCTCCAAGGAACGTAAGGCATACCGGGTATGCAAGGTGGTTTTGGTTATACTCAACGATATGAGTGATGGAGTCCTAACATGTCGTGTCAAAGTGAATAAATTGTTTAGAGAGAATTGGATGCGACGATTTATTCAACCAAGAGTGGCTTGGAGCCATTAGCAAAGCGTTGCTTACCTTAGGAGATTGAGTGTTAAGACAAGCCAAAGCATGCTTAACCACTCTTTGTTTCTTTGGATCTTGGAATCGACTTATTCTCACCTAAAATGGGGACAATCTTTAATGTGTGAATAATACATTTTAAATAAGTTTGATTAAAATGCATGAATTCAATTTTATTTAAGTATAATGAATGGTTTTTTATTTCAAATTCTTTCTATTGTAGAATCGACTTATAATTTGCCTCCGTGGATGTGCATGAAGGTTTCTTTGCTTGTCCTTCGTGTCATAACAAACCCTCATCATGTTCTATAAAAAGCAGGACTGCTTATGTAAGGAATAGACGTTTGCTGCCATTGAATCATAAATGGAGAAAGTTGCGAAATGCCTTTGATAAAACAGTTGAAAAAGAAATAGCCCCCCTCCCACTATCTGGCGATGATGTAGTAAGGCAATGCAACCAATTTTCTCAAGTTCCATTTGGCAATGTCGGTTCAAAAAGGAAATGGGATGAGACAAATAGCTTGTATGGATGGAGAAAGAAGAGCATTTTTTTCAATTGCCATATTGGAGCAAATATAAATTACGTCATAACTTGGACGTTATGCATATTGAAAAGAATATTTCTGAAAACATCATTGGAATACTGATGAATATAAAGGAGAAAACTAAAGACAATATAAAGTCTAGATTGGATTTGGTTAAAATTGGTATAAGGCAAGAACTTCATCCCATTGTTGATGAAGATAAGGTGCGCATACCTGTAGCATGTTATACACAGAGAGGTCATGAAAAATCTGCATTTTGTGAGATGTTTCAAAACTTGAGGACTCCTGATGGATATTGTTCAAACATCTCTCGGTGTGTGAAAGACAATGGAAACTGTTTCGGGGTTTTCTGATGTCCTGCGGGAGAGTTACAATTCCGAGACTGGAACCGGACGCCTGTACCTGCAAAACAAACGGATGCTCTGGATGATTGGAGATCCGCCTCCGACGGTCAAGTTAGTACTTGATTAAGGAGTAATTAATGCGGAAATTAAAGTGATTGGGTCTCTCTAGGTGAGAGTGTTTAATGTGTGTAATCTGCGTAATCTCCCTTAATGAGGATTAAGGGAGGTATTTATAACCTCGGGAAACGTGCCAATCTAGGTTTAGGTTAACCTTGGGCTGATTGGGCTTCCCTCGGAAGTTGGGCCTAGGTAACCGGCTTCTCCATTAGGCATGGAGTATGCCACGTGTCATGACATAATAAGTCCAGGGTGGACGAATAAGCGGGTGCCACGTGGCAAGCCCTGAGGGGTCCAACTGGGGGACACTTGGCAGGACCTAATTGGCCCACGTGGCGCATTCCGATTGGTGGGAGCAAAATCCCCTAATCATTTGCCCCTCACAGGTGGCACGTGACTGGTCACGTGTTACCTGTGACAGGTATCGCCCTGTAACAGGCGACGACTTGCTACAGGTGTCACTCGGCGAGAGGCCGAGAGATTCTCCCGCCAAAATTTTGAATTCTGGAAGTGACCCTTCGCCTATATAAAGGAGTGTTGACTTCGGTCATTTTCACACTTGAAAACTTTGTGAGAGAACATTCGGACCCCTGAACTTGCTCTGACATTTTGGACCCTTTCTACCTACCCCCTGCTCTGACAAGCCGACTGCAAAGGATTTTCAGAACTTCATCAATCGTCACTCGTTCAGGTAACCGTCGGTTCTCTAACTCTTAATTTTCTCTTTACTTTATTCTTTTTTGAAATGGCACCACGGAAGCACACGACACGACCTAGGTTAGTGATCAGCCGGTCACCGGGGACGGCTGAATCTAGGACTAGGAGTGCCGCCTGCCCTTTTCTAGACCCATCTTTGCCCTTTATACAAAGTCCGACTGTATCTGTGTCTATGCAGAGCATGATGGCCAGAACAAAAAAGACTGCCAGGATCTCAAACTCAGACGGCTCCTCCCACAGGGTGCCGATTAGTGAAACATCTGACCAGGCGCCAGATGTGGAAGTGAAACAAAGCGGCTTGAAAGCCGGCAATTCTGAGGGAGGAGTCAAAGTGACCCCTTCCCATTTTACAGTTGACAATTCTACATTCTCTCCTGCTCCTTTTAAAGGAGAGGAGGCGGGCCCCTCCGGAAGAGGGGAGGAGTCGTCCTCTTCGGACTCGTCAGAGGACGATTCCGAGTCTAGCTCTTCTGGCCATGCTTCCCTGGACACAGAAGAGAAAAACAGTCGCCTACAAGAGGCGAGGCTTTCTCACGCAGTTGAGAAGGGGGACGATTGGGCGGAGCCATCCGCCTCTCACCGAGAGCAAAATACCCCCTACTACTGCACGGTACCTCGGGGCCGGATCACGGCCATGCAAGAGAAAGTGGGGAGCTTTATCGCAAACCACACAATGGGCCCCGGCTTTTTAGTGTTCGTGCCGGATCCAGAAGACACAGTCGTCTGGCCGGCTGGTACCAGTTATGATGGCGCCTGCTTTGGCTGCTACGAGGCGGCCATTAAGGCTGGGCTGCGCTTCCCACTACATCCGGCTGTTCAGCGGATCTTGGATGGGTATGAGTTGGGGTTATGGCAGTTAGCCCCGAACTCCTGGGTCAACGTACTCGGCTTTGTGGCCGGGTGCGAACTGCACGGGGTGGAGCCGAACTTCGAGACTTTCGCCCACATGAACTACCTCAGCCGAACCCCTAAGGCAGGCGGTACCGGCTGGTATCAATTAACGAGCTACAGGGGCTACCTCATGACGAGAGGTAAAGCAAACAAATGGAAGGACTGGCGGAGCACCTTCCTTATCATTGAGAGTTCAGACACAGAGCTGAACAAGCGCTTCAACAGGTGGAACAGGAATCCGCCCCTTCTTGCAGGCGGCCGCAGCATGCCGCCTGTTCCCCCCAAGGCTAAGAAAGAGATCCTAGATAAAGGACTCTTCAAAGTAGAGTCGAAGGTGAACTCTACTTCAGGGGTACGAGAGCAAGTACCCCTGCACTGCGTCCCGAGCTTCAGATGGCTCTACGACGAGTACTTTTTGGCCGCCTGTGGCCTCATCAGTCGGTGCTCAAGAGGTAGCCGGCCTGTCGAATACTCTGTTGTTCCGTGCATTTATTGTTATGACTTTTATTAACTTTGCTATTTGTTTTTGCAGCGGACGCCATGAGCAAAATTAACGCCTCCAAGACTGCGGCGGCCATGTTGCGAGCCTCCATCATGCAACAGTCTTAAACCGACTCCCCCAACAAGGGGGCACCCTTGGTGGGCTTCGAACCTTTCACCCTCTTTTTGGAGTTGTGTTTATGCATATACTGACTCTTTTCTTCTTTTTTAGGCGGGCGCTCCAAGAGCTTCTTCTTCCCAACAGCTGGACCCCAAGGCCCGGAGGACGACTGTTGCGAGCTCTCCTGGTTCTGCCAGGAAACATGCGGCGGCTGAGAAACAGCCAGCCACCTCTTCTAAAACTCCAGCTGGGTAACCTAGAAGTATGAAATTGTCTTGTAAATTTTAGACTTGCTCCCTTCTTTACTAGGTATAATCCGTTTGTTTATGCTATCCGGGCTCAGTTAGAGGCGGCCCAGAAGAGGAATAGCAAGCTGGAGGCGACCATCAACAACCTCAAAACCGAGCTGAGACCTCTTCGCCAAAAGATGTCCTCATACGAAACCTTGGAGAAATCCTTGGCGAGCGTAAAGCAACGCCTGGTGACACAGGAGAAGAGTCTTACTCAGGAGCTCTCGGAAAAGGCCGAGCAAGAAAAGAAAGAGCTGGTCCGGGAGATGATGGAAGACTCTGCTCAAATCCATCGCATGAGTTGGGGCCGCCTCTTCCCCAATGCCGACTTTGCCTCATGGGAAAAAACGTACCGCCAGTGTTCTGATAGATATAATCAAGAGATCCTGGCGGCTGCTGAGGAAGAGGCGTTGGAGGAGGAGGAGCAGCCGGTAGTGGCGCTTGTGCCGCTTGGGGGTAATGCATCGAAGAAGGATGCAACTGAAGCCGAGTCTAGCAAAAAGAGTGCTGACCAGGCGGCAACTGCTAATATTGAAGATCTGCCCCCTTCATAAGCTTTATGTCTTCTTTCCCCGGCCTGCGTGCCGTTTGTTTGTATTTATCCGGCCAGGGGGCCGGGGCTCTGAATATTTTGCCGGTCTTTAATGACCGGCTTCCTTTTAATGAATATTTTTGTTTTGCTTCAAATTTGTTTAAGTATTGAATATTCTGATATCCAATTGCACACTATACCGACTGTTTTACATGGTCGATAGTTGCAGACAGGTATGGATAGTTAGTCACGCCGCTTATGCCCCTGGACGACTGGTTGTCTGTTTCCAGGCTAGACGATCAGTCGGCCATTTATCCAATCGGTATTCGAACCATTTTAAAGACTGGATCCCCTTTAGGCAGGCGGTCCTGTCATTTGTAAAATTAACCAAGTAGGAGAGTGGTTTCCTACTTGTCATGTTTTTAGGCTAGAGACTTTAGGCCGTCTAGGCCGACTGTTCCCCGCCATATTTAATCTAGTGTGAACAGGTGCTGTATGAACACCTTTTTAGTTTCATACTAAATTTTTAAGGAGTGACCAAGTAAACATGATTGTTACCTAGTCGCCAAGTAACTGAGTAGTAGAGGTATCAAGCGGTGGGTACCGGTTGTTCCCCTTTATTCGCCAATGTTTGTTGGCTTTTAACTCATAGGTTGTTAACCTAGCAGGAGTAGTGGTTGAGAGCCCCTGTTTGCTAAAAACAGGCGGACGACTCATACCTTTTAGGCTCCATACTAAGTTTGAGAGAGTGACTATGAGTTAACTTTGGTGTTACTCAGTCGCCGTCACTCCTGCTTGAGTAGTAAAGGTACCAGGCGGCGGAGGCCGGCTGAACCTTTTGATTCGCCAATGTTTGTTGGCTATTAACTCAAGAGGTACCCCCTGCATTTATCCCAAGTAATACAAGCGGTCATCTGACTCAGATGTCAACTGCTACCACTGGTTTGGTTAGTGATAGAGTTATCCTTGTCTCAAAAACGGCTACGTGGTTGCCCTTGGGGACAGTCGTATAGGTGCCGTGTAATTAGTTTATAGAGCAATGTTCCACCCAAAATGGAGCTGCTCTCTGCGACGAATTTCATCCGGAGGGATGCCGCCGGACGCCTGCTATGATGTTGGGACAGGTCGTATTAGTTTAAAGATTGGATCAGTTGGCTTAGCGCCTGAACTGATCATTCGGCTTGTGGCCTTGGTTAGTTCTTGGTGAACGTAGGTGCTAAGTAAGAGGAGGGTAGCCGCCTGTTTAGGCACAGGGTCGGCCAGGCCCTGATCATTTTTAGCTAAGTATAAGGGGGGTGGTTGTGTGCTTTGGAACCAGTCGGCCCTCTTCTATGGAGAGTAGCCGACTATATATCTAGACGGCATGCCCCTATGGTGATAGAGTAAAATATTCAATGGAGAGTAGCCGACTGTAAAGGTACAGGCGGCATGCTATCTGAAGATAGAGTAAAATACTCAATGGAGAGTAGCCGACTGTAAAGGTACAAACGACATGCCTCTCTGAAGATAGAGTAAAATACTCAATGGAGAGTAGCCGACTGTAAAGGTACAGACGGCATGCCCCTCTGATGATAAAGTGAAATACTCAATGGAGAGTAGGCGACTGTAAATGTATAGGCGGCCTGCCCCTCTTAAGTAAGAATAAATATTAAACATGGAGAGTAGCCGACTGTTTGTCAGTAGGCATGCCCCTCTTAAGTAAAAATGAAAACTGAGTATGGAGAGTAGCCGACTGTTTGTTAGTAGGCGTGCCCCTCTTAGTACAAAATTGAATATTAAGTATGCAAACTTTTATTAAGTAGCCCTTGACTATTTGTATCATTCAAAAGAAATGTTTCTTAAGATTATCTACATTCCAAGT